ACGATAGTGATGAGAATAGCATTCAAGCCGACGTCTACAATCACTGTAAGTTCTCTTTCGTCATGAATTCTCACTGCGCTGGCATTGATTTCGTTTGCTTGCTTGCTTCTCGCAGAAATTCCAAAAGACTGTAACGAGAGACCGGCAAGAAACCGAGCTGAGAGCTCGTGGTCGTCATGATCCCTGCGTCGTTCCTCGAGGTAACCTCCAGGAATCCTTTCTCCTCTTGTGAATGCTCATCGATCGATTTCTTGCAGCTGTTCCAATGGTGGAGGCGATGGTGGCCCTGGTTCTCGCGGATCAGCTCCTCCAAAACTACGCTCAGTGCCAGTTTCTCCCTCTCGATCCAGTCTTGCAAAGCTCCAAACTCGCCGCCAATCCACCGGAGGAAGAACCAGCAGCAGCCCACGCGTGATCGTCTCCCCCTTGTCAAATTTTTTTAAACTTGAAATTGAGCGCCAATTTTTTCCAAAAGGAACTTTAGGAATGGGTGGGACACGTGGCGGAATTTAGGGTTCTTAAGATTGCTCGCTAGGGCTTTAGAAGAGAATGTGGTGTAGCTAAGAAATGGGGAACGCGTGCATCGGCTCCACTACCAACAGTAAGAACGGATTCTTCCATCGATCGAATTCCGAGGCGCCGCCGGCGTCGACACCAGCTCCAGCAATCGATCCGCCTCCCGGCGCGGTCCCTGTGGCAGCTCCCGTCATTGTTGTTCCACAGCGTCCGCAAGAGCAGGGCATGAAGGCGGCGGGCGGGATCGCAGCATCGACGCCGCGCAGTGCGATCACAGCATCGGTGCTAGGTCGCAGCACGGAGAGCGTCCGCGAGCTCTATACTCTGGGCAGGAAGCTCGGGCAGGGCCAATTCGGGGTCACGTATCTGTGCGTGGAGAAGAGCTCCGGGAAGCAGTACGCTTGCAAGACGATCCCCAAGCGCAAGCTCATCTCGCAAGAGGATGTGGACGATGTGCGGCGCGAGATCCAGATAATGCATCACCTCGCCGGGCAGCCCAACGTCGTCCAGATCAAGGGCGCCTACGAGGACGCGGGGTCGGTCCATCTCGTCATGGAGCTGTGCGCCGGTGGGGAGCTCTTCGATCGGATCATCCAGAGGGGGCATTACAGCGAGAGGAAGGCCGCGGAGCTCATCCGGGTGATTGTCGGCGTCGTCCAGGCGTGCCACTCGCTCGGGGTCATGCATCGCGATTTGAAGCCCGAGAATTTCTTGCTTCTCAGCAAGCACGAGGATTCGCTCATGAAGGCCACCGACTTTGGATTGTCTGTGTTCTTCAAGCCAGGTAGGCTACTGCCATCTCTTTCCAGAGTTTCTAGGCGGAATCTTTCCAGCTGAAAATCTATCTAGACTGGATTGTCACTTTCCTCATCTCTTTTTTCTGTTCTTCCCAACAGGAGAAGTCTTCACGGACGTCGTTGGAAGCCCATACTACGTTGCTCCCGAAGTTCTTCGAAAAAAGTATGGACCCGAGGCGGATGTGTGGAGTGCCGGCGTGATCCTATACATTCTTCTCAGCGGCGTTCCTCCCTTCTGGGCTGGTAAGCCAAGCTTTCATCAGACTTTGATCAACTTTCGCTTACATTTCGACCCTTCTCGTAGAAACTGAGAAGGGGATATTTGAGCAAGTTCTTAAAGGAGAGATAGACTTTGAGTCGCATCCATGGCCTGTGATCTCGCAGGATGCTAAAGACCTGATACGGAAAATGCTGTGCCCGGTTCCTGCTAACCGCTTGAAAGCTCACGAAGTTCTAGGTGCGTCTCTCTCTCTCTTCTTTCGTTTTGTCATTTGCTAGTCTAGTACATTGCGTTCTCTATAGACGTTCTTGTCATACTGAGCTTTGTTTATAGGCCATCCTTGGGCAAGGGCGGACGGCGTGGCCCCCGATAAGCCTCTGGACTCTGCAGTGCTTTCGAGGATGAAACAATTCTCAGCGATGAACAAAATAAAAAAGATAGCTCTCAGGGTCGGTCTTCTTGTCCCTTCTTGTTTGTTTCTTTCCCGACTGAGGTACTTGTGCTTTGCGTTTCAGGTCATCGCGGAGAGTCTGTCCGAGGAAGAAATAGCAGGCCTGAAGGAGATGTTTAAAATGATGGACACTGACAACAGTGGATCAATCACATTTGACGAGTTGAAAGCTGGCCTGGAGAGGGTGGGGTCGAACTTGGTGGAGTCTGAGATTCGGGACCTCATGGCTGCTGTAAGGCTTTTCTCTTTTGTTTTGTACCGTCGCTAATGGAATGATGACCGACAGGCGGATGTTGATAACAGCGGCACTATTGACTACAAGGAGTTCATTACAGCGACATTGCACTTAAACAAGATTGAGCGCGAGGAACATCTACTTGCGGCATTTGCGTACTTCGACAAAGATAACAGTGGCTACATTACCAAAGACGAGCTGCAGCAAGTATGCGCAGAGAACCACATGGGAGACGAGGTGATTGAAGAGATGATGCGGGAAGCTGATCAAGACAATGTATGGTGGTCACGTTTGTTTTCTCTAAATAATTGTTCTCAATCTTGCAGGATGGACGCATCGACTACAGCGAGTTTGTCACGATGATGAGGAAGGGGGCCGGTGGCATCGGCCGTAAAACCATGCGCAATAGCCTCAGCATCACCTTCAGGGACCTGCTCACTGTTTGACTGACAATTTTCACGTCGATAGGTGTTCGTTACAGGATCAGGATCAGATATTTTTTCTTCTTTTTTGGCCGACGGAAGAGCTCGAAGCTTTGGTTTGTAGATACAGGTTCTTTTCCGTTCTTTGTTGATTTCGGTTTTAATCAAGCTGCAGCAATGCGATTGCTACCAGAAGTTGTTACAGGAGCACCTTCCGTTTTCAAAGACGTGAAACCGGCTCGAATCCCTGCAGACAATCTGACGCTGCTCGAGCTTGGAAACACCCGCAATCACCGAGTGACAGTCATCGCAGAATCTCAAGCTCTTGACGACTCGTATAGCAGTTCCTGGTGCCGTGTTGACGAGTGCACAGGCAATGGCTAGCCGCTCGCTGTGTTCACACAGAGCATCTTCTTTGTCAACGTCGGAGATGTTGTGAAAGACACTGCTCAGGTCGGCTACGTGCCCGTTCTCCTTCAACTGAAGTGCCAGAGTTCTCAGCTTCGAGTTTATTGCTTCAATCTGAGGATGGCTCTTGTCACCAACTTTAAAGGCGTGGACGAGTCCGCGATCGTCAGTCCACCAGCTTAGTCCGGGTTTCTTGGAGGTCTGAGCAGCGGACCTGAGATGAAGAACACTGGTTTGCTCGTCCCACATTCCCAGGCTGCCATACAGATTCGACATCAAGAGGTACGTTGAATCCTGCTTGGGGTCTAACTTCACCAGGTTCTCAAAGGCAACTCTTCCCAACTTGGCGTTCTTCCACTTTCGACAAGCACCCAGGACGGTCTTCCACGTTACTACGGTGGGTTTGAAAGGCATGACAGTGGTCACCATTTCCAGAGCTTCATCCAGATGGTTGGCTCTGCCTAGAAGATCAACCATGCAGTGGTAGTGCTCGATCTCGGGGGCTATGGCGTGACGGGTTACCATCTCTTCGAAGTAACGGCGCCCGTGTTCAACGAGACCGGTATGGCTGCACGCAGTGAGAACGGAGAGGAAAGTGATGCCATTCACGCCGACGCCAGCGTCTTTCATGGCCTGGAAGAGATCGAAGACGCGCTGAGCATCACCCTGGCGACTGTAGCCGGCTATGAGGGAGCTCCAAGAGACCAAGCTACGCCTAGAGCTTCCCATGGCGTGGAAGACTTTCTCGGCTTGAGCCAGGCAGCCACACTTGCCGTAGAAGTCGATCAGCGAGTTTGCCACGAAGCAATCGTTCTGGAAGCCGTGGCTGGAGAGTTCTTGCTGGATTCGTTTCCCAGTCTCAAGATCAGCCAGGCTCGAGCAGGCAGTGAGTGCTGCAACGAAAGTCCGAGCGTCTGGAGAGCAGCCATGGCTCCTCATGCAAGAGAAGAGCTGGAGACATAGCTCGGGTTCGTCATTCTCGGCGTAGCCAGTGAGGAGAGACGTCCAGCAAATCACGTCGTGGCGAGGCATGCTATCGAAGACTGCCCGAGCTTCGATCATGCTTCCACACTTGGCATACGCATCGATCAGAGAGCTGCTGATGAAGATGTTGGAGGCGTAGCCGCGAGCAAGAGCGTCGGAATGGATGGATCGAGTTTTCTCCAGGCCGAGAAGTTTGGTGGAGTCAGTGGCGCGCTCTTCTTTCTCGGCAGCGAGCGAGCAGGCCTTGAGAGCTGCGACGAGGCAGTGAGCGTCGGCTTGACAGGTATTTTGGATCTTCATTCTCTCGAAAAGTTCTAACGCCGTGGCTCCATCGCCAACGTCTACGTATCCCAGGATGAGTGACGTCCAGGACACCACTGTGGGACGAGCTATGGAATGGAAGACTCGCTGCGCTCGATCCAAGCTCCCACACTTGGCGTAGAGATCCACCAGTGTGTTTGCGACGAAGACGTCCGAGTCGCAGCCGCTGGAACGAGCTAGCGAATGGATCTTCACCGCTCTCTCGAGGTGGTGGTGGAGTTCTCCAGTGCTCTTTCGAAGGTGGCTAGAATCCAGCACTGTTCTTGGCGAGAAATCTCCTGCTTGGACAGTCTCTCCAATATCAAGATGGATAGTTCCTTCGATTGTTCTCTCCGGATCTAGCACTGTTCTTCGCGCAAGGTGATTCTCAGTTCCTTGGAAGTTTTCTCCACCCGGAAGAGCTCTGGCTATGGCGAGGCTCACACAGGCCTTGAGAGCCGCGAGGAAGGTCCTGGCATTTGGGCGGCAGCTCGAGCGTAGCATTCGATCGAAGAGCTCCAGCGCCAAATCGCCGTGGCCATTCTCCACGAATCCCAGCATGAGAGCCGTCCAGGCGACGACGCTGTCCTCGCGCATCGCCGCGAAGACCGATTGGGCATCGCTCATACTCCCGCATTTGGCGTACATGTCGACGAGCTTGGATGCGATGAAGACGTCGCTGGCGCGATCGGTCTCGGCAGCATTGGCGTGGATCCTCTTGCCCAGCTCCAAATCCCTGGCGCTGCTACACGCCTTGAGAGCGGTGAGAAGCAGGGGTATGGTGATGATCGAGCTCGACGATTCTTTGATGCTGCAGCGATGCGCTGCCGCTGTAGATCGCGGGAAGCATCGACAGAGCATTGATCGCAAGAAATTTAGGGTTCTTGGGCCGCATTTTAGGGTTCTTGGCGAGGAGGATGAATGGCGGCAAGAATGCGTGACCACCAATGCGCGCGGATGGAGCTGCAAAGCATTGCATAGATTGCTGTAGCAGGAGAAGGAAGAATCGCAGCTCCTCCACCTGGAGGACGCTCGATCGGGTCAGTATTTCGGAGACTTCGTCGCGCGTCACCGATATTTCGTCGCGCGGTGCCATCGATCAGGCATTCGTGTGGATCCTGCTCGACGCACTCAAGGCCTGCATTGCCTCCAAGAATCTCGACGCAGGGAAGAGGATCCATGCCGATTCCGTGGAATCGGGAGCGTTCTTCTCTGGCGCGCACGTCCCCAATGCAATCCTCGGGATGTATTCCAGGTGTGGATCGCTGCCCGACGCTAGAGCAGTGTTTGAGACGATCGCATCGCCGGGCTTGGCCTCGTGGACGGCGCTCATGTCTGGGTATGCCAACAACGATCAAGGCGAGGAGGCTCTCGGCATCTTTGCTCGAATGGAGGAACAGGGATTGGAGGCCGATGCTAAAGCCTACGTCGCGGCGCTCATCGCCTGTGGAAGCTTGGCCGCGAAAGAGACTCCACAGATGGTTGCGGGTGAGAGGAGTTTTAGCGTCAAGCTTGGATCACTGGAGAGAGGGATGGATCTCCACTCTCGAGCGATGAAAAGCGGCTGTTACTCCGACAAGTTCGTGGCTGGCACGCTCGTGGATATGTACTGCAAGTGTGGGAGCTTGCTCGATGCTCGCAGAGTTTTCGACCAGATGGTGGCGAGGGACGTGGTTGTGTGGAACAGCTTGATCCTGGGCTATGCCGAGAATGGAGAGGAGGAGCTAGCTCTGGAAGTTTTCTGCCGAATGGACTGCCCGAGCCCGCGGACTTTCCTGGCGGCCGTGATCGCGTGTGGGAACCTGGCCGCCAGAGAAGAGAGCAAGGTGGTGGACGGGAAGCTTGTCAAGGTCCGGAGCTTGGAGAAAGGATTGCTCGTCCACTCTCAGGCCGAGAGAAGCAGCGGTGGAGTGGATATCTTTATTGCTAGCGGCTTGGTCGGGATGTACTCCAAGTGCGGCAGCATGATGAATGCCGGGCTGGTGTTTGAGAAGATCGTCCGCAAGGATCTGGTGCTGTGGAACTCTCTCATTCTCGGCTACATCGACAACTGGGAGTTCGACCTCGCTCTTAAGTCCTTTGAGCGGATGCAAGCGGAGGCCTGCGCACCGAATTGCCGGACTTTCGTGGCTGCTCTCATGGCCTATGGAGGACTCGCTGCTCGAGAAGATTACGGCAGCGAGCCAAGGAAGCAGGCCTTGAAGGCGGAGCTTCTGCGGAAAGTCGAGGCCATTCACGCGCAAGCTGCCAGATCCGGGTGTGAGTTCGACGTCTTCGTGGCGAGCACGTTGGTGGACTCGTATGCAAAGTGTGGGAGCCTGGAGAAATCTCGGGAGGTGTTCGAGAGGATGCCGCTCCATGATCTGGTGACTTGGAACTCGCTCATCATGGGACACGCCGATAACGGTGAAGGCGTGCTCGCTCTCGAGTGGTTCCAACGCATGAGGTCTCAGGGCTGTGTTCCAGACTCTCGGGCCTTCTTGGGAGCGCTGAAAGGTTGCATCGACATAGCCACCAACTCGAAAGAAGCCGAAGTGGAAGTTGACGAGAACAAGTTCGTGAAGCCTGGCTGCTTGGACAAAGCAATGGCAGTTCACTCTCAGGCGATCGAGTTTGGCTGCGAATCCGACATCTTTGTGGCCAGCGCTCTTGCCGACCTCTATGTGAAATGCGGGAGCTTGTTGGACGCCCGGGTCGTCTTCGACAGGATCCCGTCCCACAACGCGGTGCTGTGGACGACTCTTTTGATGGGATACGCCGAGAAGGACGAGCCCGAGCTGGCTCTGGAGCTCTACTGGAGGATGGAACCCGAGAGCCGTGCCGCCAACACGCGGATCTTCGTTGCTGGCCTCACAGCATCCAGCGGGCTGGCAGCGATTGAGATTGGTCGGAAGATCCATGCGGAGGCGTGCCAGAATGGAGGCGAGAAGGACCAGTTCGTGGCGAACAGCCTGCTCGACATGTACTGCAAGTGTGGGAGCTTGGCCGCGGCGGAGCACGTCTTTGACTCGATGAGCTCGAGAAACGTTGTAACTTGGAGCACGGTCATCGCTGGCTATAGCCGGGAGGGCGAGACGGAGCTGGTGTTTGAGCTCTTCCAGGCCATGATCGATGGAGGGATCGGTCTCAACGGGATCACTTGCCTCTCGGTTCTCTCAGCCTGCGGTCACGCTGGCCTAGTCGATCGAGGCACCAAGTTCTTCCGCGAAATGTCCTCGAAGTTTGGAGTGACTCCGAGCTTGGAGCACTACCACTGCCTGATCGATCTGCTGGGCCGGGCCAACCGAGTAGAGGAGGCTCTGGAGCTGGCGAGCAGCATGCCTACGAGAGCAAGCTCTTTGACGTGGAAGACTGTTCTTGGCGGATGCTGGAAGTGGAAGAACGCCAAGGTTGCCGAGGTTGCGTTTGAGAAGCTCTTGGAATTCGATGACAAGCAGGCGAGTGCGTATATCTTGATGGCAAACATCTATCGGAGTGTAGGGATGGAGAAGGAAGAGCTTAGAGTAGTGAGAATGGGAAAGAACGAGTGTAATGGTATTGACTTCTCTTAAATCACACACTATTTCCTCTAATATTTTTTTCAAACTCCAAAGCTTTTGGCTTTATAAAATAACCCTTTGCCATTTTCAACTAACCATAGATTTATTGGTTCAAGACATTTGAATCTGAGTTTCCTAGCGTCTCATAAAAAGACATTTAAATCTGAGTTTTCTATCTAGGGAATTCAGAGAGAATTAACAACTCTGAGGTTTTCTGAAGAGCCTCAACTTTGAGGTTTTCTGAGGCTCTTCAGATTTTTTGGTAAAGTATTCCCTGTAGCCTCGGCAAACTCCCTCAAAGCTTCAATGGCCTTCTCTTGGCGCACAGCAAGCCGCTCGTCCATATCCATTTCTCCCAACCTATCGCAGCTACCATATAGCATTTCGAGTGGAGACTGCAACATGTAGAAATAAATCAGCATCCCGTGGACAATTGCAGCGATCGATCCCACAAGTAGAAGGGCTTGTCTATGCCATCCCAACGGTGGAGCAACGGTCCCCAAAACACAGGCAGCCATGTAACTCAAACCCCTCGTCATGTACACCACCATGAACTTGAACAATCCGGGCCCGTCGTACCAACTGTCAGGAGCTGGTTGTAATACCGGAGTGAAAAGTCCACAGCATGATATCGCCAGCAGCGGAAGCATCACCCATTGATTTGTGCTCATTATGGAACACACACCACTGAGAAAACCGCTGGTGCCTCCAACAAGAAAACCATATGCATTGCTTTTCTTTCGACCCAAAAGGGCAACGAAAAATACTGCATGGACGCACTTGTCAGTCAGTCTCGAGAGAGAAAGCAGTGAAACACTTACATGCTACGAAGACGGGAACCAAAGCAGAAGCTCCGCTTCCTTCGGGGAACTCAGGGGGCCAAAATATGGCACCCATATAGAACGCATATATACTGAAGCAATGACTAACAAGATTCATCAAGAACTGGCGCCGTATAATCCAGTGCCCACTGAGGTTCCAACTCTCGTAGATATCAGCAAGATCATACTCACCATTTGGGCTCAACAATCCCTGCTCCATAGGGTAATCCTCTTTCCCCAAATATATCCTTGACAGTAGCTCATCCGACGGCTATTAGAAAAGGTCTTAGCTGATGTGTGAGACTGATTTGGCTGCCATTTGGCACCCATATCAGCCCTAAACTGCCACGACGATTACACATAGTTTGTGGAAAACGAAAGAAAGAGGAAAGAGCAGAATCCCAATCGTGCTCCAGGACGCGCGTCGACTTCCCTGTGGGGCTTCATCGCCGCGCAACCTGCGATTGAGCCATCAACCAAGGACAAATGTGGGACGAATAAGCGTAATGCCATGCACATCAACGCCAGAATCCTTTGGCTCGTGCTCTCGTGGCCCCGCGAGTTTTATATTTTAAAAAACGCGCGGGATTAGATTTTTAAAATAGGTTACTGATGAAATATCTTTGACTTGGTTTTTTATTTCTGGCAAGAGAACTCAGGAACTACAAGCCGATTACAGAAGCGGACAGCACTCAGTTTTCCTGAGGCTCTTCAAATTTTCTGGGAGAGTCTTCCCTGCGGCCTCCGCAAACCCCCTCAAAGCTTCAATGGCCATCTCTTGTCGAACAGCAAGCCGCTGGTCTATATCCATTCCTCTTAAACCCTCGCAACCACCTAGAATTTCCAGTGGGGACTGCAACATGTAGAAATGAAACAGCATCGCATAGACAATAGCTGCGGTCGATCCCACAAGTGCAACAGCTTGAACTTGCCATCCGACCGGTGGAGCAACGATGGCAGCCACAATACAGGCCAGGTTAGCCATTTGCCTCATTATGAGGACAACCATGAAGATAACCAAACTGCGGCCGTCATTCCAAGCTTCAGGCGAAAGTATTGCTGCTGGAGTGCAAAGTCCACAGAATAATATCACCACCGGCAGAAGCACCACCCACTGATTCGTGATCATTGCGGAAAGAACACCGCTGATGCCCCCAACAAGAAAACCGTATGTCAAAGCTTTCTTTCGACCAAAGCGAACGAGCATACTTACTGCATGGAGCTCTTGTTAGTCTTTAAAAAGGGAAGAAAGAAAACTGACCTGATAACAACATGGCCGGAAAGCAACCTACTGGAGCTAACTGAGGGGATAGCTGAGCGGGCCAATGTATGGTAGCCATATAAAACCCATATGCAGTGAAGCCATGACAGACAAGGTTCATCAAGAACTGGCGCCACATAATCCAGTGGCAACCAAGGTTCCAGCCCTTGTAGATATCAGCAAGATCATACTCACCATTTGGGCTCAGCAATCCCTGCTCCATAGGGTAACCTAGCAATTCCTAGAGAAAGCAGCCCTTTTCTAGTATCTTTGACCGTTGGGTGGCACCTTATCCGATATTTCCAGCTCTGAGGTATAAAAATAAAACCTTTTCTTGTATTCTCAGCGTGAACTACGGCACCGATGGCGCTACGAAACTCCAATATCTTACCACCCGCTTTACTCCTTAACTAAGGATCTAAGTCCCAGCCGGGTTTTGGATCAATCAGCTACTCCAAATTCTCGGGGTAAATCAGGCACTGGAGGAGCGACCAAAGTCCAAATAGTATTGCGTTAGAGCCAGTGCCCCAATCCGGTAGAGAGACAACAGCCCTAAAAATAGCGCAGCCTTGAACCGAAACAAGCGTCCCTGTTTTTCTCTCCATGCCTGTGCTTGTCCGGAAGATTTGACAGAAGGAAAGCTGATCCACGCCCGTGAGGAATGCTCTTGTAGACATGTATGGAAAATGCGGCTGTCTAGAGAAAACTCGCGAACTGTTTGAATCTGAAACAGTGGAGAGGAACTTAGTCAGTTGGAGCGTCATGGTTGCGGCTTACGCACGTGATATCCATGCTGCCACTCCACGCCACCAAGAGGAATCGCAGTTTAGGGTTTGGCACAGGTGCGGGCTGATGTGGCGTTGAGACTGCTGAGGTGGCGGCCGTAGCTGCCACGCGGATATGCCACAATTGTCCTATAAATAGTTTGTGGCGGAGCAGCCCGGTAGAAACTATAAACTTTTCCAACGAGAAGATGATAACAAATTGGAGTAAAAATATATACCAATGCATTTTATATTTCCAACAATGTATAGTTTCTTTGGTTTGTTACATTGTTTTAGCAAATGGATATGATTTGTTATTTAAATATAAATTTAAAATGTCCATAATTTATGCCTTGACAAAAGTACTTGGAATCCAAAGCATCTAGGTTTTAGATATTTATTACTTTTATTGTCTATGAAGATGCCTTGCAAGTATTACTAAGGGAAAGGTGCATCAGATCCACCAGCAAGCATCACGTCCTGTGCAGAAAGGCTTTCTGCTCTTTCTTGTCTATAGAACCGATGCAAATTATGTGGTCTAGGAAGTCTTACGAGTTGAAGGATCTCGTCAAGGAAAGAGCAATGAGCGCATTCACGAGCTCGTGGATCGGAGTTCCTGGCGTCGGCCTTGCACTCTCTTCTTGGCTTGTGGAGTTTCAAAAGAGGAGTCGAGGAGAAGCTTAAGACCCATAGGGATCTTCTCGCTATAGGCCTGAATTCTCTTCGTTCTAACTGGAGTTCTCGTTCAGGTTCTTCCTTGGTACCTAGAGCGGCCTCCGTCAGGTTTTCGCCCATGTACTTTCAGGTATATGATTGGATACGACAATGAATGTTGTTTCGCAAGGGATCCTGATACTGCGTTCTTCAGGAGGTTGGAACTTGGAAGGCAGCCTGTTTCACACGTTTTTTTTTCTTTGGTTTCATGAAATGCTCGTGCACACAGTTACACCATCGAGCAAAGAACGCAGTGCAAATTGAGGACCATGTAATGGCAAAAGGAAGGAAGGTATACGTGATTTTGAAGCTCAGTACCACGACGTAGTTCTGTGAGTTCTTGTCACATTCCTTTTGGGAGATCATGGAAACAAAACGCAGCAATTCTATTCAAAGCCCGCATTTTTTGAAGAACCGGAACAAGATCCCGGAGCTCCAGGAATCGCAGGTTCATTGTCTCCGCTTCTCTGGGCTTCACCAGTGATCAGTAGGAAAACTTCATTGGTTTTTCGTCCAGAAAGAGATCTCTCTTTTCTCTGTGGCTTTGTTTAAGAACGGATGCTCGCGCTAACTCCAGCAATCCTATGTGGCAGAAGGCCAGGGCAATTGAATCCACGAAACCCGGGACCTCGTTCGATCGGATGCACGAGAGCGACATCATCAGCTGGAATTCCATCGTTACAGGCTATCCCTGGTGGGGAAGTGGCACGGTCTCTTTCACAAGGTGGCGGAGAAGAACACGAATGCGCCACGGATGCCGACGCTTGCTGGTGAGATCAGTGCCTGCTGCTTGGCAATCTCTGCGACTACCTAGAACGCAATCTAACGTGGTGATAGAACAATTTTATTTCGCGAACCCCACGTCGAGCAGAGTAAAAAAAAACAAAACTCAGCGAGCGAGCGAACTCTACAACAATGTTTGTAGAGTAAAAACTAGAAAGGCCTCAAACTAGCATCAGGCAGGTAAGAATTGCTGCACAGCCCGCGGCAAACATGGTGGACATCTGAAAAACCAACCAAAGTTTTAATCCAGAACGAAGAAGATTAGAAACTTACTAGGATGGCCTTGTTGTCATCGAGGGTCGCAAACCAAGCCCATGCCACGTTACAAGCCAGAGATACGAGTGGCACCACCCAGCTCCAACGGGCACTGCTGTGAGGGAGGGTCGCCACTCGAACAGCAAGGGGAGCAAGAATCGAGGCTGCTGTGGTCGCAGGCAGAACTCCTCCCCGTCGTAGAAGTTGCGCAACAGGTACACTAGACAGTAGTGACTGATCCCAAGCACCGGGGGCCAGAAGAGGGGCTTCCATGTAGCCTTCCATGCATATGCAGCATAGAAAACTCCCGTGATGAACCCCAGAAGATTCACCACCTCGACCACACGATCGTTGTGCTCACGGCCGAAAATATACCAAGATATCGAATTTATCTCTGGAGAGAAAAAAAAAAACGTTGCAAACTGGAATGAAAATGAAAAAAAGAAAACGCACCGGAGAGGCCGAAGAAAACACTCGACTGAATCCCCGTCTCAAGGAATGGAAGGGGAATCAGGAAGAGGACGACAGTGATCGAGACAGCTGCACGCTAAACAAAGAAACACACACTTGTTCCAGGACAGGCAAGCATTGGTTTCTTACTCGGATGTTCTTCTTCGGCACCGCGCCCAGGATCTTGCTTATTGCGCCTCCGGCAGTCCCTGGTGCTGCGCCCAGGAGAGTGTCGCTCGCCGCTTCACCACCAGCGCCATGATCGGCCGCCGTCACGGGGAGCGCATCGCCGCCGCCCGCCATTCCGCCGGACCCCGACATTGCTTGTAACTAGGGTTTTTCTACCTGATTTTCTTTTCATTCGACCGCCCGAATCGCGCAAAGAGGTAATGTTCATTCCAGTCTCCAGTTCTTACAAAGGGAATCGCGCAGTGAGTGCTTCGTTCAAGCGAGCAGCTCAAAAAGCGCCTTCCACTGTCAGCATTTTTCCAAGCTCCAGGATCCAGGCGAAGCAAAGGATCCAGAAGACTAGCGAAGTGCAGTGCGCAGGGAAGAAGACGACGAGAGATGTGTATCTTTGGCTGTTTTATATTGTTTCACTCGTGTTGGGAAACTTGAAGAGACAAGGGTGAGCATAAATATTCTGGACAGCATTTGTAGCTTCACTGTCGCTGCAGGCGAAGGAGGGAACCAGACTGTGACGGGAGAATTGGAGCCTCTGTCTGTCTGTCGACTGGGAGATAAGCATCAACATCAAGGCTGAAAGGATAACCGTACGCACGGATGAGGTGTGCTTGACATGAACACGCGCCTGATTTACGTAAGAGTTCTTTCTTCTGATTCTACGCTGTTGTGCTCTCAAGTGCTGGAAAATTGGAGTTCCTGACCCTTCGTCTCACGGATGGATTGACCAGGAGAACGTGCTGAAGTCTCATCCAGATTGAGTGAGAAATCGTTCCAGACAGATGGAAACATGAAGTATACAAAAAAGATGGATCTATAAAACCGGAGGAAGCTGTGTTTCTACCACACGAGCAGAGGCAGAAGTCGTACATGGAAAAAGCAGTTTTCACCAAGATCTCCTTGAGTTGCGCCTTGTTCGCCACCAACCCAGTGTAAACATCGTAGCCGAGCTTATGGCGGCAACGAGCTTCTCTTTCCCACTCGCCTGGCGGCCATGGACGAGGTAGCTCCTCTTCCACGCCTTCCCAATCCTCTTGTAGTAGTCCTGAGCTCCCACAAACGCCTCCAGATCCTTGACCAGCGTCTTCTTGAGCTCGACATCCATGGAGCAATCCAGCGTCTCCAAGCTCGCGTGATGATCGAATTCGCAGCTCCCCCAGCTCATCTCTACATATCCACGGTGAAAAGGCGGCGGCGCTTGGAGGCGGTGGCGATGATGTGAGAAAAGTAGGCCTGGATCACGTCGTTGGAGTAGTGCGGCGGGAATGCCCGCACGGGAAAGCCCGAGATGAGGGGCGTGTTGTCGTCGATCAAGCTCGCCCTCAAGAGCACCGGCTGCTCCGGATTGACTGCGAGAGAGGAGAGGTCCGTTGACGTAATTATATCGTTCTCGTACACCGCGTGGCAGACTGTGGCCACCTCATCAGTCAACGCCACATCAGCCTGCCACCTGTGCCAACCCTTGGATGCGATTAGGAACATACAAAAAGCCATAATTCCTCTAATTCATGGGATCTCAATCTGAAAAACAAGGAATCTAGGCAAGATAGAGAGATATAAACATGCATACGAGGTCCACTATCCATTATCCATTTTCCAGGTCTCAAAACTAAATAGCTACGTCCTTGCGCTTGTTTCTCCCAGCTCATATTCATTATTAAAAGTCTGCAAAGCTTCTCCAGTGTTTCACCCGTATCGAGCAGCTCCTTTGCAGAAGTAGGCAATCGATGCACAAAAGTTTGTAGACATCAAAATGCTTGGACTCACGCTTGTTTCTCCAGGCTTCCCAAGCTGAGCTTGAGCACGATCACCCATCAGGTGCGTGATATCCATGCTACCACTCCACGCCAGCCGACCCAGATCACTCTACATGGCATTCTCGGACGATGGCCAGGACCTACTTATCAAGAGTGTGGCGGAGCAGTGTGGACTAAAAGCTGTCCATGAAGATACCTTTGAGTCTCTGGGATGCGATGAACTAGATCTGGTGCAGTGAACTCTTGTTGTCATGCAAATGTTGTGTTATAACGTGGAACAAACAAAAGATTAGTTCGACACTGTCCATGACTATAACAAAAGTCACAACATAAACTGTGTAGAAGTAGCATTGCTGTCCTCTACAATATGCTCAACCTTATCTATCCAGCCGTGCAGCATCTCTTTGTTGTTTTTTTCATGGCCGCTTACATTGTTTGTGACTTCATTGAAGAATCACAGCTAGAAATCATTCTTTTGTTAATTCTCTACTTGACAATGCGTTTCAGCCTATGTTCAAAATTGACCAAGTCAAAAACAGTCTTTAAAGAATAATTACACATGCAAGAGAATATTTTATATAAATGAATAATACTTTTCTGTGGTTATCTTAATAATAGTGCTTATTATTTATTAATCATATTGACTATGTTTATAATTTATAAACAAGAGATTAATCTTATTACATAGAATAACTAGAATATACTAGGAAGTGTTTATATGTTTATAGTTTATAAATACATCATTAATCTAAATGAAAAACAACCATTAGATGGTAGAATATTCCAAAATATCAAGTATATTCTAGGTATATTCATTAACCTGTTTGCTTATAAATTTTTTAATAAAAATAAAGTATTTATAATATTAAAAACACTTTAAATAATATTTAGAATAATTTTACATATATAAACTATCCAGAAACCATGTTTTAACCATCAGTGGATCATTATAGAGCACTGAAGTTAAATCTTTTGCACTCTAGGCCTCTACCACCACCATCCTTTTTTATTGCATTTGTTGTAAAATCTTTCTTTTCTTAGAGGCTTTGGCAATTTACAGATTCAGAATATTGAAGAGAGAGAGGTAAGATTCCCAGTCACCCTTGCATGGACAACCAAAATCACATGACATGTTCTTTCTTTTCCTTTTTATCGAGAAAGTGTAAAAGTCAAGGTCTTCTTAGGAGCATTGAAAACAAGGTTGACAAGATACACCTGGTATATCAGTAGAAACTATAAACTTTTCCAAGGAGAAAGATGATAACAAATTGGAGTTGAAATATATGAAGATATAATGGCGAGGACACCAAGAGAAGGTTTGGTGAAGAGGACAGCAACAGGCCGGACTAGAAAATCTCGGATAACCTCCAGCACCTCCTACGACATTTGCGGCAATCACAAAGTCAACATGGCTCCAAGCTTTTACTTTTCCGATGCTCAACAGCAGAAGCAAGCCTCTCAGGTGGTGGAGAGAAGACGAACAACCTCCCAAAGTCAGCCTTCCTCGGACCTGTCTTCTCGAGAGCGCATGGAACCTGTGACGTTAACTTGTTCCACGAAAAAGTCCCTCGTCACGCTTAGAACCACGAGGAGTTGCAATAGCTCTCGAGAGGAGGAAGTAAAACCAAGAGTTACTCGTGGAAGATCTTGAGTGGGACGTTTATTCGATCGTGATTCCAGTCTAGTGGCAGTAGCAGAAATGGAAACAGGAAACATTTAGGAGCAGGCAAACCATTCGAGGGGTCAGCCACGTCGACTAACTGTCGGGGATTACAGGACGAGCCGCCTGGCAAGCTGATCGACGCTGCATGTCTGTGCTACTCAGACATGCTGACATGCACGGCTCGATGAAATTATCCACGCACATCTGGAGCTCTATGAGTCGGAAATCTGCGTTATCATACGTCATTCAGAAAGCCGTTAGCGCGAGTTGTTTTTTCCAGATTGGAGAAAGAGAACTTGGAAAATACCAGGGTGGGATATTGGGTTTCTTTTTTCGCAACAGGTAAGGCTTGCTTGGAGCATGCGGTTATTCAATTTTGTCATTTTAGGAGTTCTTACACAGCTTACATTTCTAAGAGTGGGAAAGCATGAAACGAACCATAAATTTATTGGTTCAAGACATTTAAATCTCTAGCCTCTCAAACCTCTCATCTAGACAATTCAGAGCGAATTCTCAGAATTAACAACTCTGAGGTTTTCTGAGGCTCTTCAGATTTTTTGGTAAAGTATTCCCTGTAGCCTCGGCAAACTCCCTCAAAGCTTCAATAGCGTTCTCTTGGCGCACAGCAAGCCGCTTGTCCATATCCATTTCTCCCAACCTATTGCAGCTACCATATAGCATTTCGAGTGGCGACTGCAACATGTAGAAATGAATCAACATCCCGTGGACAATTGCAGCGATCGATCCCACAAGTAGAAGGGCTTGTCTATGCCATCCCAGCGGTGGAGCAACGGTGCCCAAAACACAGGCAACCATGTAACTCAAACCCCTCGTCATGTACACCACCATGAACTTGAACAATCCGGGCCCGTCGTACCATCTGTCAGGAGCTGGTTGTAATACCGGAGTGAAAAGTCCACAGCATGATATCGCCAGCAGCGGAAGCATCACCCATTGATTTGTGCTCATTATGGAACACAAACCACTGAGAAAACCGCTGGTGCCTCCAACAAGAAAACCATATGCATTGCTTTTCTTTCGACCCAAAAGGGCAACGAAAAATACTGCATGGACGCACTTGTCAGTCTCGAGAGAGAAAGCAGTG